AGCGGCTAATGGTATTGGTAGAATGACATTGCTGATAGAGACAGGGGAGACTGGAAGGGTCACTTCTGGCTTATTAGCCATCATCAGCCGGCTATATGCAACCAGCCAGCCAGCGAGGCAAAGGGCCGTGACGCATTGGCTGGAGGATTCGACTTCTAACCAACAAAAGCTACGGGTTCGAACCTCGGGCGTGGACACCATTGTTTTTGGGGTGGATGTTCTTGATTTAATCATACGCAGAAAGACCGTAGCAATTTTCAAACCACTATCTATTGAAATCGTTCATCCGGACGTTATTTTGCTTCATCAGATCAAACAAATTGCTCTGGACAAGGCGTTTACCTGTTTGTCTTAATTTCCCTTAATTACTAGCCTTGACATTTTGTACTTCGTCGCTTAAAAGCATAAGATTCTATGAAGAGGAACTTGACAGTTATAATGACGCGGTGAAATCAAATATATGACGAAACCTAGTTTATATTCGGAATGTGTCTATACCTTTTGAAACACAATTGTCAAAACCATATAAATGTGGGGCGCAAACCGACCATTACCTTACGCAGTCCAGCTAGGTGGTCTAAGTATCTTGCTTAGAAGGATATCGTCTTCAAGATCCAGGCGCTGCATCCGTGAACTACTTAAGACCTACCGTACCGATAGGCTTGCCGACACTAAGCTATAACTGTTAGATGTTTGTAAACCTTTTCATTTGCTGACCAACCCTACCAGCAACATCAAGAGTCACCTGTGGGTTGGCGCATATCCGGTATTCTGGCCGAAGCCGTGGCTGCGCTTTGTAACTAACACGTTTTTCACTGTCACAATAAATTATTTAGACTTGCTCAACAATAAGCTCAAGTGTGCATTTGTAGGAAAGAAACGCTCTTTGAAAACAGCGGTTGATTCACATTTATGGATGTCCTTGTACATCGACATAGTGATGGATCACTCGTACATCATTTTATGGCAAAGTACCATATTCTTTGGTTATCCTAAACTTAGAGCGTACTCACATGGACTCTCACAAAAAGGGGTTTTGTATATAGTGTCCTTATTCGAACCAAAACATGAGGTTCTGGTGAAGAACGTTGTAAAAAAATTTCCTCTTCCAATAATTCCGCAATAATGGTTATTCATGCGCCAGAATCTAAAGCGGCACGGATGAAAGTAGCATGGTACTTTAGATGACACAGTCACGTAGGCACCAAATGCAATGTTCTTTCAAACGTTTCTGTACGGTGAAAATATTATTAAGCTTTCTTAAAAGTTGACTGGAAATGATTTAACCTCCATAGGGATCTTCTTTCTTTGGCAAAATCAGACGGTGGGCAGTGGGAGTTATTTGAACGGCATGGCAAACCAAAATGTCTGACTTTAGTTTTCAACTTAAAAGGATTACTTCGATATTATTATACTATTGGCCGTTATGTGTAGTACTCTTGCAGTAACACCAATATGGAGTCCTTGAATAGACTTCTAATCAGGCCCCTGAACTTATGACATTTTTCCCAATGATTTTCATAACATCACAGAATTAACTACGCGTTCTTCTAAAAAATGAATAGCCTCTCTTCTGCTTATTTGGTATTTCTTGTCATACTCGGAGCCATCTGTCATCTTAGGTAGAATAAAGATGAATTTATATGTATTCTGATTAGTACAACACTGGTAACGGCGCTTTCGCGATGCCTATTCCCAGAGTTAGCGGTAAAATTCATAGCACTTAACATTCTAGCCTAGAAACAGTGGACGGTTGCCTCTGAAATTTTATAAACGGGAAGTATTTACGTAAATTCCCCGAGGTAACGCCTTCAGAGAAAATAGAAGGAAATAAGAATAAATTCAACACACTGCTCTAAGCAGCTTCGTCTTGAGTTACGAAAAATGCTGCAGAAGATCTAACGAACTAACCGAGCTTGTAGAGGCCATCTTCGGTTTGGAATGCGATGTTTGAGCTGAGCGTTTGGAGTGTAAGGAGCTTCCCGATTTTGAAGATTTTGGCGGTTTCTTATGCTTTACTCGGGTAGATAGTTCTTGAAACACGTTAGCAAAGGTTTTAGTCACACCCTTACCCTTTTTAATGGCGTTTGACACCTGCAAAAAGAGTCAATGCAAACGTACATGACTAAAAACTGCAACTGTATGATCTTCATTCGTTCTTTGATAATATCACGCTAGTTATCTAGGATATGAATAAAATTAACAAACGATAACTTACTAATAATTTCGAAGGTGAGTGCTAATAGCACAATTAATATCGAGAGACTATCACTTATCATTGCCCCTTCGCTTTAATGCCTAAATTAATAGAAAGTTTTTTGAAAAGGAAGAAGATCTTTGGAAAATTGAATGGTTCAGGTAAATTTTCAAACAGGCATCATGTGTTCGTCGTCAGACTAAATGAAAAGTGAGGGCTGGAAATGTCGCACTAGAGGTTTTGGGGCCAGAGCTTAGAATGAACGGGGATGGGGGTGGGGGTTACGGTGATACGAATCCTATTGCGATAGTTCTGCAGGTGAGGGGCAGTTGTTAACGTTTGGATTATGGGCCACGTGTTCGGGGGAGGTGCAGAATTATTTTAGTTCTCCTTGACCGAGCACGGATAACATACTGCTGTTTCAGACTGGACTCAGTTTAGTTGACCGTGCGTGCAAACCGCGATAGTTCGAATCAAGGGCAACATGCATCTTTATATTGGTTCGGCGCGAAAGCCAAGCT